TCATTGCTCACCTCCTTGGTGGAAAATATAAGTCCTTTATAATAAGTTTTTAATTTATAGTCCAAAATATAAGTTTCATTTGGTAATGTATGAGTGATTAATTTTTTTTTTTCAAATTTACCTTTATAAGAAATTAAATGCCAGATAGTAAATTGATATTACGAGAATTGTGCAGCCTATGTTTAGTTTTAGCAAGGGTACGTAACTTGGAAAGCATTGTATTTAACAAATTTCATTATTTGAGTAGAATATAATAAAGTAGTGATATATATAATTGGAAAAACATATGTAAAACATATTCAATTTTTTTTTTATTTTGGACCAGAACTTCTAGAAAACGTTTTATATTATAGTCTAAAGAAATATTTTGAACATGAAAAAGTAGTATGAGTACAGTGATTAAGATAACATAAGCACTCCATTAATTGGTAGAGTAGGTTGATCCGATTGACGGTAAAATAAACGCACATCGATAAGGCTATTCAAAGTTAACTGACCATTATATTAAATACACAAAGTAAATTGATTCTCCGATCTCAGATCTATTGTAAAAACGTTTCATTTAGGTGTGTGATGGACACCTGTCAGCGGGGTCAATGACAGTGCAAGGTACTAAGACATAATTAAAATATGGATTAGCATGTTAACATTGACTATGGCGTCACATGTCAATCATTGGCACAGAATCATAACCTCTTTAATTACAGTGTTGCAGCATCTCTCCTTTCTCCGATTTGGATTGAAATACCTAATTTATTAAAAGAAACACAGGATTTGGATGCTTTCCCATTTCTTTTAAAATTGTTATAATCTACTCCCCCCTTATTTAGTCAAAAAGGTGCATGGTGTTTGGTCATGTTAGCCTCCATTATTATTGTATTTCCTTTGCTTGTTAATCTAATACCACTACCTTTAAAATATTCAATCATTGTGCATTATTATATTCATGCAATCAAACTCTCACAGCAATATATTATATGCACCAGTCTATTATATCGGTTGGAGGCTGTTGACGAAAGAGAATGCATTCGTATAAACCCAGCACTCACTTGATTCATTGTGCAAATAAAGTAATATAGACCGCGCATTACGAGTTGGAGATCAGGCACATTCACATGACGTTGAAAATCAACCGAGGGTCACCTATACAAATTTTATGCCAAATCCAGATTGTATGATTTGAGATGAGATATAGGCCGCGCATGTTAGTGATTATTTGATTCATTGGTGTCTAGGATGCACAAAAATCTCTTCGACCTGGCAGCGCAACATAGAGATAAATCTTTTATCTGGTAATTAATAGTACGCACAGGGAAACGATTTTTCCCCTACACATGAACTTATTGGATATATTTGTAGATAAATAGGGAAGGTATGCATTGCACGACTCTTTCTTGAAGGAAGCTTGAGTTTGGATCTCGAGAATGAAAAGAGTGACTGGAAAGGAATTGAGGGTGCGTGTAATGAACTTTCTCTCAAATGACAAAGCGGAAGAATCCATTTGCCTCTCCCTAATTCTGAAACATTTTAAAAAGGATGGTTGTATATTAATTGAGCAGTGGCACATGCATGGAACCGATCCATGACACAATATTCGAGCATGGCCCATGCGATATGGGAAGTAAACATGGGATGCTCTAATTACGTGCGTGAAACGACTGTGATCAGCTCAATACTGGTGATTCCTCGCTCGCTGCCAATAAAGAAACTTCGGTTTCATATATTTACTGTGATTTTTTGGGCAGATGATCTTGAATATCTATATACACTACTTAAGCAGCTCCAGCTCCAGTTAGCAGGCTGATCAATATGTCACGTGATTGTTTGCGAAAAGAAATAAAATAAAATGTCACATGCACACACACCCGCACACGGTCAGTTAAAACCAAGTCCAGTAAACACACAAACTATCTCGGCACTCGCAATACGGTAGCGATATGCATTGCATTCATTTGGTTTACCTTTTTAACAATAATAATATGTGCATGTATGTATACGTATGTATGCATGTGCCAACGAGCTATATCTGCTTACATGCTTTTCCTTGGTTCAATTCATATGAGATCAGAGTTTTTAGGATTAGATTGAGCTGGTCGGTCCAATTATTGATCGAGTGACTCTAGCATCCACTGGGCTCAGCATCTTCTAATCTATTATTATTTTTATAAACAAAATACTACTGATTAATTTAATAAATGATTCAAATTAAAGATGTTACTGAAACAAAAGCCTTAACAGAAAACCGGAGGCCATGCATCATCCAGGAAGGGTGAAATTGTGACAGTGCACGGAACCGTTCTTCGAGAAGGCCTAAAAAGCCTGAAAGGGAGCTTCAAAGTGGATAGATGGAGCTGCCTAACAAGAAGAGAAAAAGAGGGTGCTTAGGGAATAAAATAGTGATTAGGCTTCAAGGCTAGGTGAGGGAGAGTCTGCTTTAATATATTCCCGGGGATAAGTTGACAGTACTGGACGAGTGCAGGGGTGCCATTTTCCCAGAGCTTTTTAGAGACGTCAGCAATCAGATGCCAAAACGGCGCCCAACAGAGTGCCGTTGCGGAATTATGGACTCAATGGTTACATTGAAGAAACCAACTTTGAATGGAATGGCTTCTCATTAGGCAATGACTAACGCCTCTCCGGGGTGAAGGGCCTGCGCGCGTAGGTCTGGGAGCCACTGTCACGCACTGAAAGGACTGGTCAATATTGCTAATCGCCTGATCTGGGATCCATTCTTGTCTATATTTATGATTTTCATTCTCACCCTCTGTCCATTTCTCTGTTCCTCTGCGTTAATTAATACCCCATCCTCTCCTTTTCCTCGCAGGCTCGCACTAAGGTTTTGCAATTTAATACCAGTGCTCCTTTCTTTCTATAATGACACAATTTTTTTTAAAAAAAAAAGTTTGATATTTTTAAATATAAAATATTTTAATAAAAATAAAATTTTATTAATAATATTTTTAATATTATCCTTCTATTATATTTTCTATTTAATATTCGTTTATAAATAAAGTATTAAATAAAGTATATTTTTTAAAGTTTATATTTTTGTTTTTTTTAAAAAATTATACTCTCCTATTTTTATCTATAGGAGAAAAAATTATATCATATGATTTAAAAAAATTAGTAAACTCTATTAATTATATTTAAAAATAAAAAATTAGACTAAAATATCTTTTATTAATTGTATCAATCAAGTTTTTATTAATTACTCCTCCAGTCTAAATTATAAAATATTTTTTTAGCTCATTTTGGTTTAAAATATAAGATATTTAATAGGTTTTGAATTTTTTTCATTTTACCCTTGTATTTATTAACTTGATTTATTGTGTAACTTTATTGATATTTATTATCTTTTTCTCACTTTTTATGATAACTAAAAATTCATTGGTCTACAAGAAGGTTCACACTTTTTCATGTTATAGTACTTCTTTAAAAAAATATCATCTCTCTCATTTAATTTATTATTGACAGTTGGAAAAAAGGGTAAAAAGAAAAACTTATGATATTTATAACTAAAAACAAGAATATAACTGAGTTTTATTGATATTTGAATTATAATTAAAATTGTCCTATATTTTAAACTGAAGGAAATATTTTTTAAGATTGTGAATGATGAAATTATAAAAGGTAATTTAAAAAATTTTTAATAAATGTTTATTAAAAAAATGTAATTTTTTATATAAAAAATTAAAAGTAATAGTTTCTATCATAAATAAAAATGTAGGGAATAAAGTATATTTAATAAACTTTATTAGTATATATATAATTTTTTATTTAAAATTGTTTTATAATTTAGAGCACTAATATTCCATCAAGCTTAAGTCTCCCACTAATAAATTATAAGAGGATAATATTTGATGAAAAATAATAAATGATAACTCACCAGGTTATTTATATAGAAGAACATCAGTTCCTTTTGTATGTCGTCGTATGTAAATGATCACAAGAGTAAGTTGTTTAAAAGATGATACTATCAATTTTAAAGTATTTACATTTTATATAAGAGAATTGAAGGAAGTTTAGTGGGTGTAATTAATACAGCTTTCCTATTTTACCCTTCATTTAATCATCATAAATTAATTAAAACGTGACTCCTCCAAATGATTTTACTATTAGATATATTTGTGAAAAAAAATAAACTATGGAATGGTCAAAGAATTCAACCGACAAATTTTTTCCGTGCTGAGAAAGATATTTAGGTATTATTTGTAAAGTTGTTGAGTACCAATCGTGTAACGTTGTTATTTGTAATAATTTTTTTAATTATTTTTCGATTATAAATTTAAACCATTGAAATTAAGTTTATATTTTTAAAAGTTATTAAATTTAATTTAACAGTCAGATCTACGAAGATGCCTGCTCTGCTCTCCACAAAGGAGGAATGCCAATTTCAATAACAACAAGGAATGAAACCGGTTACTTGAAATACAGCATTGGGTTTTTTAGTTTGACATCGGCTGAAAGCTCGAATGTCCACGAGGGGTCAGGGTCGGGGTCAGTGTACTGCATGCATGCATTAGGCACAGTCAGCGTGATCCCACGGTGGAAATCCATTACAATCAGGCTGACCTCGTGATGAATCAACGGCAGATATTGAACGACCAGCGTGGTTCTTAGCGCGAGAGAGTTGCTCAGAGCTGGGGTCTGGGGAATCGGAATGCAGAGCTGCAGGGCACGTGTCCTCGCGGAGGGCTCGCAAGGTGGGAGCATTTGGCCATATCACTTCAGTTTTGGTTATCTTTGCACCCTCACCGGTCGGTGATCAACTGAAATGTATTGATTCTGATTCTAGAGAGAGAACGAGAGGATGTTGACCGGATACTGGGCAACCTAACCAACACGTGCCGGTACCGTGGGTCTAGTCGATTCATCCTTTGGTGGTTTATCATCATTATGGCGATTAATCTCTGACTTGGATATATTGGAAGGATTACATTATTTTTGCTCCAATAAAAAATGATGTACAATATAAATATGCCAAGTAAGGTGGCCTTCTCCATTTTTGAACATTTCACGCATAGGTAGAGTGGGGCAGCGCGGATCTCTCCCTTCGTCCTTCTCACTCTCTCTAGGCATTTATTTGCCAAGATTTTCTCGGCCTTTTTCATTACTCCTTAGTGCGAAAGGCAGGACGAAAAAAAGTGAGACCAAAAATCTCTGTGTTGAGTTAGGATCGCTTTTAGCTTGTCCCTTTGCCTTTTATTTTCGTCTCATCCCGAGCCTTACATCCCTAAATTCGATCTCTCCCCCTTTTGCTGTCCCGTGTAGCATCTTCAGATCGATCAAAAAATAGAACAAAACAAAACTCCTTTTCCCTCTTGCCTACTGGGGAGCATTAATAAAAAGGTATAGACAGGGATAGAAGAGAATAATAAAGTTTTGGTCCTTCGTGCCGAGGGAAAAGCTGGAGCTGAGCTGATCTTTTTTGTGAGCGAACAAAAAATGGGTACTGGTTGGAGAAGAGCCTTTTGTACTCGCGACCCTGAATCTACCATATCCGATAAGCACCACAGAGGCACGAGTCCCAGCCCCAGCCCAAGAAGCTGTGTTCGATTGGGTTTCCTCTCTGGCGGCAGCAACCCTTCTACTCCACGCTTGCAGCAGCAATCTCAAGCTGTGTCTAGTCCCAGCCCGCGTTGCCGAACGGTTTCAGAAGCAGCAAACGTGAGTGATAGCCCCAGATTTCAAAGCAAAAATACTCCCAGGGCAACCAAGTCCCCCAAGACCACTTCAATCTCAAATCCAACGTCTCCGCGGTCTCCTTTGAAGTTATCTCTCTTCAAGAACAGCTTCAAATTCAGGGTGAGTTATTCCTTATTCTGATCTCTTTGATTCTTTTCAATTGCATCGATGGTGTGAGATCTCTTGACTTGCTAGATTCTCATCTTTTCTGCTTTCCCATCCTGCAGAGTAGCTGTGGAATCTGTTTGAATAGCGTAAAAACAGGTCAGGGAACGGCCATTTACACTGCAGAATGTACTCATGCCTTCCATTTTCCCTGTATCGCCGATTATGTACGCAAGCATGGAAGCCTCGTCTGCCCCGTCTGCAGCGCTGCCTGGAAAGACGTGCCTCTACTAGCCGCACACAAGAACCTCGCCTCAGAATCCGCCGAAAAGAAAGATATCGTGGTTGAGATGAAGAGCGTCGAAAAACCAAATGCCGCCGATAAGAGAAAAGAAAACTCGTCCCCAGTTTTCAGAACCAAGCTCGTTGAACCGCCCCAACAATTTCCGCAGAAACAGCCTAAGCAATCTGATTCGTACAGGTCCTACGACGACGATGAGCCACTTCTATCTCCCACCTCCGGTGGTCGAATCATTCCCATTCCTGAAGCCGACGAAAACGCCGAAGAAGACGCTGAAGAGTTCCAGGGATTTTTCGCCAATGCAAAATCCTCATCCTCAATCAACTCTTACTCTGGTGACTTGCAAACAAGCGACAAAGATTCCAGGAACGTTCAGGTGAAGTTGATTCCCGAGTGTGCCGTAGTCTCAGTCTCTCGAACCCACGAGACTTACGCTTTGGTTCTTAAAGTGAAAGCCCCTACACCACCACTTCCAGCGCGTGGCTGCAATAACAGTACGACGCCTCGTCTTGGCCGGTCGCAGCGAGCTCCCATAGATCTCGTAACGGTTCTTGACCTAGGTGGTAGCATGACAGGCGCGAAGCTGCACATGCTAAAGCGCGCCATGCGTTTGGTTATCTCATCACTCAGTCCAGCCGACAGGCTATCCATAGTGGCTTTCTCGGCCACATGCAAGCGGCTCCTACCCTTGAGAAGAATGACGGCCCAAGGACAGCGCGTGGCTAGGCGCATCGTCGATCGGCTTGTCTCTGGCCACGGGACTTGCGTGGGTGATGCCCTGAGAAAAGCCACCAAAGTGCTTGAGGACCGGAGGGAGAGAAACCCGGTTGCCAGTGTGATGCTCTTATCGGACGGCCAGGATGAACGGGTCCAAAGCGGCAACATCAACACCCAACGAAAATCCTCGAGCCACGTGTCCTCAACCCGATTCGCCCATATCGAGATTCCGGTTCATGCGTTCGGCTTCGGTAAAAAGAGCGGCTTCAGCCACGAGCCGGCCGAGGATGCATTTGCTAAGTGCGTCGGTGGGTTATTGAGTGTGGTGGTACAGGACTTGAGAATTCAGCTTGGCTTCCAATCGGGCTGCTCGGCGGCTGAAATAAGCGGTATCTATTTATGCGGCGGACGAACCACAGCACTGAGCTCCGGCTGCGTACGGCTCGGTGATTTATACGCCGAAGAAGAGAGGGAGTTACTCGTGGAGCTGAGAGTCCCGACGTCGGCCGTGGGGACCCACCATGTGATGACTGTACGGTTCTTGTATAAGGACCCCGCTTCTCAAGAGATCGTATCCAGCAGGGAGCAGGCCCTACTACTTCCGCCACCTCAGGGAACCCGAAGCGAACGCTTGAGGAATTTCTTCATTACGACTCGAGCCATAGCCGAGTCCCGCAGGCTCGCTGACCACAACGACTTCACGAGGGCCCATCATTTACTGGCTTCGACTCGAGCCCTTTTGATGCAGGCCAAATCGAGCTCGGCTGAGGAGCACGTACGTGCGGTAGAAGCTGAGCTGGCAGAGCTTCATTGGCGCGCTCAGAACCCCACGGAGCAGCCGATGATGGTGCAGGACCGTCGGAGAGGGTACGAGAGGGAGACGACGAGCTTGGTGGATGAAAATGGCGAGCCGCTCACGCCGACGTCGGCTTGGAGAGCTGCTGAGAAGCTGGCCAAGGTAGCCATCATGAAGAAGTCATTGAACAGAGTCAGCGACTTGCACGGCTTCGAAAACGCTAGGTTTTAGTTTTTTTTTATTTTAAAAAAAATTTGGTTCACCTCTCCTCTTTCCATTTTAAAAATATTATCTAAAAAATAAAATATAAAATTGTTGAAGTAGAGAGAGGGAGTGTAAAAAAAGGAAAAAAAAAAAAAAAGGGAACATTCAGTGATGGGGTGAGAGGAAGAATGGGTTGGAGATGGTAGGAGACGGCGTGGCAGTTTCTGTAAATGATGGTGGTGGGGATCTGAGGCTATTGTTTGATTAAATGATTGCTTTGGGATTTGCATTTGTCATGGCTCCTCGGCAATTCTGCTCAATCGCTCCTGATGATGAAAAAAAATGTGAATCCACCTGAATCCAAATCCTATTGGTACGTTGCTTACCCACAGTGTTTTAACGCTTCATGAGCACTTGCGTTAAACGTAGAGTATTTCTGCATTTTTCAATTTTTTTAATTCAGCAGATGGGGGAGGCGAATAATGAAGGATGGCTTTTTTTTAGTCTTTAAATACAGAGGAAGAGGTTAAGATAGGGAGGGTGGCGAGCAGGAATAATAATGGACAAATGATTAGATTCCATGGCAGTTTTGATGCCTTGGATCGCCACGTTATGATTAACGTTGAAAAGTTCTTAAAAAATAAAGAGGTGGCCCCTCTGGTTACAAGTCACCGCGGACTACAATGACAGAATTGGGTCCTATCTCAAGCTACTCTCCCAGTGGACGAAGCTTTAAATCACTTTAATTGAATACCAGAAAAACGAAATATATATATATATATGTGTGTGTATATATGTATGGAGTACTGTGTCATGCTCTGAAAGAGCAAAAGAAGCAAATACATGCCTGATCCAAGCTTCAGGAAATTAAAAAGCATTTTGGTTTAAGATGTGGTGTGCTCAGTACAGTGGACTTGTAAAACTGAACTTTTACTATTTGCCATTCATGTACCCTTAAAGCCCGCAAGCAGTCATCAAACGCCGTGGGATATACAGGAGGGAAGGAGAGGCACTGACAGTTCCAAAAACCAATTCTTGAATTTGACAATTCAATGCGTTTACTTCGAACTGTCTCCCTCAGCCGGAGCTACCTGCCCTGCTCTCGACGGCAATTTCCAGCTAATTTCTTGGTACCTTTTAGTACCCTACGATTTCGTCTTTCAAACGCCCACACCGTTTCGTTTTGTCAACATTATTACCAACGCTGAATTTATATCGTTTGGTAATATTTAATGTAACTACTAACTGGTGGATTCCTGCATCCACGTCACTTGCCTCCTACACTGCCACAAATTCTTACATAAAACCATTTCATACTATGCCATAAAAACATCTCACATTATACAATTATAAGAACAAATTGATTTTGTCATTAATAATAAAAAAATTCAAAAAATTTAAAAGACACCCTCTTTTAAAAAAAATAAAATCATTAAAAATAATGATACATTAAAAAAATTCAGGAAATTAAAAAGACACCCTCTTTTTATTCTCATTTATTTTCAGGGTGGTCAAGGTAAAATGGGGTGTAGATGGAAGTCAAGAATTCAAATTCTCCAATGTATTAAAATGAACGGGAGTGTAAAAATGCAGGCCTCGGTTTGTCAATCATTGTTATTCCCCGAAAAGATCAAGCAAATAAATGGACTCGATTGGTGGCTGAATTCATGCGACGCGTTGATGAGGGACCATTCATCTCTCGGCAGTACCATGGTCCATCCACCTTATTCCTTCTGAGTTTCTGATTGTAGGGTGTCTGAAGCATCCACGCTTCACACTGATGGATTCTTTTACCACATAACCTCATTCCAAACAAATGAACAAAGACAGATTCTTCTTCCCTTTTCTCTTTCTTTGCTTAGTTTTACAGAAACCCTCCTTCCCTACTACCGCAGAAAGCGTCTGAGAGGGGTTGTATAGCCATTTTCCAACTCCAAACCTGTCCCACGTTTGGCTCGATCCAATATCAGGTTTGAGAATATTAAGAGTTTGGTAACCCTAAAAAATACATTCAAACCATATCTAAGATATGCTTTTATCAAATACAACAAATAGTTAAATACCCTAAATAAACTTTTACTGTATGTGAACTGAAAACAAAGCACACATTAAGCCAATCTCATTTACAAAGATTTTGTAAATTAGGCAGCTAATAAAGTTTTGGATGCTAGGGATCAATTTTATGGCTGGATCATTCATCACCTTGAATAAAAAGCGGAACATGATTAACTTTTTGATGGAGACAAGTTAATATGAAATATCAAATTCTAAATTAAGTAGTATTAGATGTTTGATAAAATATTTAAATGGGTTGATTTTCTCATTTTAATAGTTAGTTTTTGATGTAGGATTTTCCCATCTACCCATCACCTTCTCAAAATTCATCCGAAATAAGAAGAAACCCACCAACACCCATGCATTGATTTTAATTTACTAGTTAGCTGCATTATTGTATACACAATCTAGAGAGCACGTGAAATCTTTCCTTGAATAACCAGGGAGGAGAACCGGCATCAAGGAAGATGTTCAAAACCAGTCTCATCTCAGTATGTGACCTCACTAAATTACAATTAGTATTCTCGATACAAAGGGAAACATCGCTCGCCAATACAATTCCTTCATGTGATGTAGTACAGTCAACATGGCAACAGAATAACAGTGTACACATGAGAAAAACCCAAAACCCCAAACAAGTTACGCCAAGCAGACACTAGGAAACAACTACGCATTGAAGTCCCCCGGGGAGGTTTCTCCTGTTTCAGTTATGCAGCTGAAGATTACCCACGAGAGTGTTTCCCCTTATCTGAATAGAGGAAATAAACAAGTGTGATCAGTGAAATTGGAATGAGATAAGATATTACTTCTGATTTTGTTCCACCTTGGCTCGAATCTTCTGCTCCAAAATTGATACTTCAGTCTCAAGGCTGAACATTCTATTCAAAGCATGCATGTTCTCAAGAGTCTCATTTAGAGTCCGGCTGTCACTCCCATCACATCTCAGGTGCTGCATTGGACCATGGAGCAGCTTATTCACTATGCCCCGGCTTAGGTCATCCACAGCTCTCCTTGTCTTCTTTGGGATATCATCTCCCATCTTACTTAGGCATTTCTCTAGCTCAGCAGCCCTGATTCTTTCGGCATAAGCCCTCAATTTCTTGATCGTGGGAACGGTTTCCAGAGAGTCCCTCCAAGCTCCAAATTGTTTTGATTCCTCAGCAATGATTGCCTGAGCTTCCATTGCTTTTCTTAGCCGATCTTCTTTATTAGCAGCCACAACCTCTTTGAGGTCATCGACATTGTAAACTTGCACAGAATCAGCATCTGAGACACAAGAACCAACATTCCGAGGAACAGAGATGTCAATAAAAAGACGAAGCCCTCCAACATCTTGACTTGCAGGAGGAAGGTCCAGGACATGATCTTTCAAGAACAAGGGGCATTCTGATGCAGTGCTGGTGAAAATGACATCTGCTTGACCAGCACAGGAGAGCATTTCTGCAAGGGGTTTATATATAATTTCAACATCCTTCATTTCTTCACGGATCGCTGCAACTCTCTCCTCAGTTCTATTAACGATCACCATCTTAGAGCAACCTTTAGCCACCAAATGTTTGATTACAAGCTTTCCCATCTTGCCAGCTCCAATAACCAACATCCTGGCCTTATCATGAGAGGATTCAGGTAGCTTCATCAAGGCCAATTCAACAGCAGCTGAGCTTACAGAAACTGCACCAGCAGCAATATTGGTTTCAGTTCTGACCCTCTTCCCCACAGTAATTGCATGTTTGAATAGCCCACTGATATTTCTCCCAAAGCCATTAATGCCTTGTCCAACTTTAACTACTTGCTTAACCTGCGCAAGGATTTGACCTTCTCCCAATACAAGAGAGTCCAGACCTGCGGATACTTCAAAAAGATGCTGTGTAGCATCGTTATTGTAAAGCAAGAACCGATGCTGGCAAAGCTCGGAAACAGGGATCCCACTTTTCTGCAAATAACAGGATTATTCAATACATTTAGTGCACTGGGATATTAATATATTATCACATGTGAGCTTGGGACTTACCTTCGACATCCATTCAGTGACCTCTTTGACACCACGGTGCTGAGACAAAGCAACAACATATATCTCCATTCTGTTGCAGGTGCTCAGAACAGCCGCTTCTTCAATATGATTCAAACTACACAGCTCTCCGATGGCTTGAGGCCATTCTGCTTCTGGAACGGCAAGCTTTTCTCGCATTTCCACAGGTGTACCGTGCACACTGAGCCCAATGACCACAATGCTGCTCCTTTCCTTTGTATATCCTGATAAGGTTATTTGAGTAAAATATTTAAAAATTATAGCTTTCACATGACTATCTGGAAAACAAAAACTGCTCATTTGAATGCTTTATAGCCATACAGAATTATTGATGATGGATGATAGACCTGTGTTTCTTACATTAAATATGTGTGTGTTTCATTCAAAAACTCAGTACATATCCATGGTTTGTAGGAAAACTCGTCACAGGACTGAGGTTTTGACATGATCCAGAAGAGACAAACCTATGGATGCATGGCAGTAATGATGAAGAATAAAAGCCTGAACAATTGAATGTTCACTTTGTTATCTTTTTAAATTACAAATGAAGGGCTAATAAATAGCAATACCGCACATTAAATTTGAAAAACAATGAGACGAAGCTGTGAGGAAAATAAGAAGAGGTCTTATGGAGCAGTCCCATAATTTAAGATATAAAGATTACGAGCAAAAATTCAGTTACAAGCGAAGCCCAAAAGATCTAGTTCCCCTTTTATGATGGTATAATTGTATAGAAGACATTTATATATTTCCGGGTGAATCATAGAACTGCAACGTTTAAGAAATAAGAATTTCAAGTCTTGAACACCACCATAAATCCTAATCTAATTGTGTTTATTCATAAAATAACATGATCTTCCAACTATGATATAATTATAGATGTGATAGGTTAAATGGGCATAATGCAAAGATATTCTCTAAAATGTCTTATTGTCACCTGCCCAACATGAAATCGGAAGAACCAGACCAATGCTTGTGGTTGACATTACTGCTAATACAAAATTAACATTTTTCAATGAAGTCCAGCTTGTTACAGTTTTCAAGAGGAAAGTCAACGTTTCTCTGAAGGTGAACGGTACACTACTTTCCAAACTAAATTTTTCATTCTCTCTCTCTCTCTCTCTCTCTGTGAGCTGTTCTTAGTTCTTACAATCAGGATTATCAAAGGGAATAGTTGAAGACAAATAAGAGCATTCACTTCCATCTTATAAAAAATCTTACCTCAATTTGGATTCAAATTAAAAATCTGAAAGCACCAAACAATCGTACGTTGCACAAAATATTGCAATCTAGTAACTGAGCAGTGGAAACAAATTTCTGAGTTCAGGGAAAAAAGAAACTACCCGCTAAAACTTATGACTGTAACATCAATTAAAAATCAAGAACAAGACTTACTGTCAGCAGCAGAAGTCTTGAGCTGCTCGAGAGCAGAGACGCTGTTACCATTGCTCGGCTCATCGGCCTTGATCAATACCTCAGGAACAGCAGCCTCACAGCGAATTATTCCTCTCTGAATCAGGGTCCTCTTGATTGCACCGGGTTTGCCAAAATCCGATAAACGGGGAGCAGCGGAAGCCCTCGACGCCGGGGAAGAAGATTTGAGCAATAAGGCCTCCAATTTGGCACCGGAGAAGCTGGTTGACACAGCCATTTGGACTGCGTGAACCCCTAACCCGAGATCGCAGAGAGGAATAATGGGGAATTGAAGGACGAAGGGGAGAGACGAAAATGTCTCAGCAAGGAATCGTTCTGGGAGTTGTTGAACGAATTCCAAAAGTGCTGTGGGGATATGAGGCTAAACAAATGAAAGGGTAGAGAAACGCGTGGAAGGGTTGGTGCCAAACGAAGCAAAGAGCGTCCCTTGAACTTGGGTCTTACTCTTACGGAAATGCCACACGACACATTATTGGGCCGAGAGAGAAATTGTGATTTCTCTGAATTCTGATTGGCCAATGCGCATGCCTTTTATCCACACCCCGCGATCAGACCCTTCTTGTTCTATCTCTTATCAGCTGCTTCCTATTCGTTGTGGACCCCGCTATCAAAGATTTCCCGGCAGAAAAAAAAATTAATGCATTTGATATTTTTGAAAATGATTGATAGCCCTTTTTTGGTCATAGATTTAGGAGAATTAACTGGGAATAGGAGGCTGTAGCTGATGATAACTTGTGTGTTCTTTCGTGAATAATCATTAAACCAGTTGCGCGTGTGTGTGTTTGTTTTAAAAATGATTAAGTTATGGTTAGCCCGGTATTAATATATTCCCTGCATTTTAAAATATAAATAAATTTTAATCAACTCATCAATTTAAAAAAGTTGATTAATTATAATAATTTTGTCTGAGATTCAAATTTTTGGACCAGAATGTTTTTATGATTAATCCTTCATTCTTTTAATTTAATAATACTATCATGATGGTTAAAACAAATATCATAGATACTTCTTAAAAATTATTATTTTAATTTAAAAAACAATAAACCATGTGAAAGTTTTACTTGTATTTAAAAGTGAAGGAAGTATTGGTTAATCTTCAACAATCTCAGTAATTCCAAAACAAAGCTACTAATATTCTGAAATGTTCGTTAGCAAAGGGAGTCAGATTTTCAATGAGTGAAAGGAGAAAGGGATAGGGTGAGAGTGCGCGTAAACAGTGGAGTGAGCCGTGAGTATGTGGTGGAGATTGGCTTGTAGGATTTCAAAGCTTGTGCTTGCCACAAGCACGGGAAAGTCGTGGACCAGAACTAAACTTACACGTCAGGGTTTCAGTGCAAAGATAGAGGGCTTTTTAGTGCGCCTGCGAGTAACTGAGGGGGATAAAAAAACCATAATCTTTTTTTCCTATACTTCACACAAAATTTATTATTAATCTTTATACTTTATTTTTAATATTTTACATTTTTACATTTTTCTTTATCTACACTTTAGGTCTCTACACTTTTAAAGAAATGCTAACATAATATTAATGATATTAATTATATTGATGTGGACAATAACATTATTAATTACATGATGATGTGTCAGTTAGTGGCTGATGTGTATTTTTTAAAAAAAAAAAGAAAGAAAAGCTTATGTGCATTTTTTAATCATTATTACATATATAAAAAAAGGGTTTAAGGCTATAAGAAAATGTTACATGTCTATTTTTAGATTTGTTATAATTTTGTGCTTTAAAGTGCCTTTCTTGCAATTCTGTACTTCAAAGCCAGGTTTGCAATTAAATTGGAGATAATTTATTATTTTTTAATGTAAATAAAATATATTATCCATATTTGGAATTAGGACAAATTTCTTTCACTTTTTACTTATTAAAAAAATACTTTATCGAGTCCTATTTACATGACATATTCTAGAAGAAATTTTTAGTTCAAAATATAATATAGTACTTTGTAATAATTAAACTACTTTTTTATAATTTTACCCTTTTCTAATTAACATGAAGGTATTCAATGTAGTTGTATCATTATTTAAAGTTAGAAGTAAAAATGAAAACACATATCATTTTTTATGATAAAAAACTAAATTTTCTTAAAATGTGTGAACTGTTGAAAGTTTCTTATAATAAAGATTAGAAAGAGTATACATAAATTTTTTTTTTTTCGAAAAAAATATACACATCAATCACTAACTGACACGTCATCATATAATTAACGGTGTTATTGTCCACATCAACATAATTAATACCGTTAATGCCACGTCAGCACCCCTCTAAAAGCGTAGGGACTTAAAGTGTAAATAGAGAGAATTGTAGGAACTTAAAATTTCAAAAATAAAGTTTAAAGACAATAATAAATCACGTACAAAGTGCAAGGTCTAAAATTTCGTGCTTTTCCTTTTTTTTTTCCTTTTAAATAATGCTCCCTCCATCTCAAATTATAATATATTTTAAAAAAGATTCACCATCTCAGAATATAAAATAATTTAATAAAAATAAGGTTTCATTAAAAATATTTTTTTAGTATTATCCTTCTCATATATTCTCTCTCTTCAATATCTTTTCATTAATAGAGTATTAAATAAAGAGCATTCTTAAAAATTTATAATTTTGCTTAAAAAAAGTAATATTTTAAAGTGTATTTAATAAAATTTATTGATATATAATATTTTATTTAAAAGTATTTCATAATTTAAAATAAAAAGAGTATAAAGAATAGGCTTGTTAACGGTTCAAAGAATAGGATCAATCTCAGACAACTAAATTGCTACATATATAATCACTGAAATTTGAACTCTAAACTATTTAACTAAATGACAAAAATCCTACTACTCAAGTCAATTTTGCATTATGTAATTTTTCTTTTTCTTTTTTTGTTGATCCTCTCGATCACTAAAAAAAAAAAAACTCGCAATGTATATTAACTTATAAAAGCCAAGTAATGAATATGATTGGACATTACGAGTTTAATATCCGAACCCCCACATCAAGACACTCATCATTCTCAACATCTATTTCGAATGCAGATCATCTCATGTTCAACTTTCTTAACTTCAGAAGTTGAATATAAACTCTGGCCAAAAAAAAACAAAGAAGTTGAATATTAACTCGCGGATCTCAATATAATAATGAAAAGAAAAATTAAATTGTATTAAGTATTAACCCCCAGATTGAAAAATTGATCATAACTATTTCAAAACAGAATCGACCAAAAAACTGGTAACTAGTTAAAAATTGTCCAAACCAGTGGTTCAACCATTTTACCGGCGTCTCACTCTTCCTTTTTATTTTGAAAAATGATATTAAAGTCTCACATTAAAAATTAATTATTATAAGGTTCAGTGACAATTAAACTAAAGAGATTCACTGTTTTGTTAATCTTCTTAATTTAATTATCAATAAATTCTGTAGTAATTAATTTTATTATGTAAAATTTGAATATAATTCTCTCTTTTATTGTTATTGTTTTGATGAAAAATGATAGCTTGTCCTTAGGCAACTCAATCTCGGGCTTGGTTTTTTTTTTGACCTGGGCTTTTGGCAAATAACAAAAAGGAGAGACAACTTAAAGGAAATTAAATTGTTTGGCAAATCAGTGGTTCAACTATAGGGCGAGTTTGTTCAAATGGAGGGAGGTGGAGGGGGAATTTTAATAAAAGAGAGGGGATGGAAAAGATTTTAATGAACCTTTATTTGGTTTATAAAAAAAAAAGAGAAGAACTAATAATTAGTTGACAATTTTATTTCTATCAATTTTAAGTCACTTTTTTTTCTTTGATTTATTATTAAAAAATAGTTATATTATATTTTATTAATTTTATTATTTTAAGGACATAAACTTATATTAATAATATTTTTTTGAAGAATAAATACATTAATATTATATTTTATCATTGTATCTAATGAAAAATATTAAAATTTTATATAATAAAAATTATTTATTAATTTTTGTAAGGTGAACAAGTTTAGGGAGAATTACTCTAGAATTCCACTGAATGATTTAAATACATTTACGTCCTATAAAATGGTTAAAATATTTTGAAGTTTCAAGGAATCTCAATGTAAATAATCTTGTATGTTCATTTACCAAATTAACCCTCACTCTTAAATCTCTAACATGTTCTCACTTTGATATGTTCTCTTCTCTTCAGTCAGTTTAGACTCTTCTTTTTCCTCTCCTACATAATAATGATGCATAATCATCACAACTTCAGTCACTTATTTGCATGACCCAAATATAATCCATCTATTTCTCTCGATCGTTGCCATCATCAATCTCTTCATCCTTGCTATCATCAATTTATTTCCCTACAAAATGGACCAACTCATGTAAATTTTGTTCCTATTTTTATTGAAGCCATTTTATTGATCCATATTATTTGACCATTTTATAAGACTAACAAACACAGTGGCATTCTCAACCTTCTTGATCTGACTTTCTCAATCTTCTTCACCACATTTATGCCCTCTATGACTTGGCCGAACACCACATTGTCGAGCCACTCGATCTTGGCCATGCAGATGAAGAATTGAGATCCGTTAATTCTAGGGCCAGTATTTGCCATGGAAAGAACACTAGGATTGGCATGCTTCTTGACAAAGTTCTCTTCGACGAACTTGGCATCATAAATTGACTCATCACTAGTGCCATTTCTAGTGGTAAAGTCATCTCTCCAACACATGAAGTTGGGGATTACACTATGGAAGGAAGAGCCCTTGTAGTGAAGTGGCTTGTCTTTATGATTTGCTCCTTCTCATAAGTACAGGGAGTATAGGAGTTCTTGACAATCTTAGGGGATTCAAAGCCAAAGTTATCAAAATAAGAGAAAAGGAGAGGGTAGGGATTTAGGAACAAGGGTTAATTTGGTAAATGAACATACAAAATTATTTACATTGAGAGACCTTGGGACTTCAAAATATTTTAACCGTTTCATGGGATTTAGATGTATTTACAATCCTTTAATGGGACTCTGGAGTAATTATCCAAAAAATTATTTTATTATAAGAGAGGGGGGAAGATAATGCATAATTTTTTTAATATAGAAAAAATTTTAAAATTTTTAAAACAATAAATAAATAATCTAGTTATAATTTTCTCTTTCCCCTCCCTTTAAAAAAAAACCCTTAAATTATAAGGGAGGAAAGGGAGCACTCTCCTCCCTTCATTTTTGTTCACTAAATAAAGGATTCCACTTTCCTTCCTTTATTAAATGCCAACCAAATAAAGAAAGGGAGCTCTTCTTGAAACATCCCAACATTAATTTAAGGATTAAATTAATTAATTTAATAGTTTAATTAATTAACCAGGGTTTTGGATAGTGATTTAGGCTTATCGGACCCTCTAATGGACTTACAATGTGGCATATTAGGGTTTTAGGCCACGTTGAGCCCAGATTGTTAGGCTTAAGTAAAATTGCCCATTTTAGACTAGCCGTTATGACGAGAAGTGCAATTCGCCACAATGAGTG